GAATGTCTGCCTCCGCTAAAATTTTAACCAAATCACAATTAATTTGATCTTTATCAGACATAAACTGCTGAATAGTTACAGTTAAAGTCCTTTGTAAATTGTTATTGCTATTTTGCACATTTTTTTTATGTTTTTTAGATTTAAAATGATTGTCAAGTGTACTTTTTTTTTTATGATCAAGAACTTCTTTACATAAACGGCAAAAATGTTTAGCTCTATCTACATAGATGTTATCTTTGTATTCAGATTCTTTTGCACGTTGGGTTGCACTTTTCGTCATGATTGATCGAATTTATTAAAAATAGTTAGCATCTAATAAAAGATCAGTAATTAAAGATTTTAATAATCAATAAAAATTGAGATTATTACTGCAGATTATGCGATTATGTGATTTATGCGGAATTTCCTAAATTATGCGAAAGCATAATACTATGCGTTAAATTCAATATTATGCGCATATTATGCTATAGCATAATTCTGGACATTCTATGTAACTGACACAGTATGTGAATATAAATTCAGTCAGTATTATTTCACAATTTTGACCAGATCTTTGGGCATAATAACTCAGCATTCAAGCTAGCCTAAAACTGGTGAACTAATAGAAATACTCTAGTTCCTTGTCAGTTCTATGATAGTTCCATGATACTATTAAGTCACTATCATAATGCTAAACTGGATCCTTAAATCACATACTCAAAAGATCAGCTAAAATTAATCACAGATCTACTGTGCTACCTGATATTATATTTTTTACCATATTTTGAAATCTAGAAAGACAACCAAATAGGCGCAAAAAGAAAGCATTCCAATATAGAATCTAGCATCTAATCAGATGCAGGAGGTTAGCATCCTTAACATAAAATCAAATATCTAAATAGTTACAGAGGATCAACAACTCCATTATAGAATTTAGCATGTAAATGACTTAGAAATAAGAAGAAAAGCTTGGTATTTAGATTATATACGTGTAATAATTAAATTATATTGTGATAATAAAAGTATATTAATATAAAACACGAATATCAAGAAAGACTTAAAAATATAGCTAAAATGTAAAAGTGATATAAGAAATAATAAAATATTAGATTATATGTGATATTCAGATTGTGTTATTTAGATTATATGTGATAATTAGATCACATCATTTAGGTCATATGTGGTATTCAGATTCTATGTATTATTTAAATTACATGTGATATTCAGATTATATGAGATATTTAGATTATATGTGATATTTAGATTATATGTAATACTATAATATAGGCTAAATGGGATACTATATATAATATAAATTATATTACATGTAGTATTCCACTAGAATATTTACTTAAAAGATATTTAAATTTAAGGTATTGTATCCAGTAATTATAGATATAGAAGTATTATAGTAAATTATACTAAAATTCCATTATCTTATTACAAAAAGTTACTTTAATCCTCTGACATTTGATTATAAGAATATAATAATAGATCTATCTTATCTTTATAATATACACTTCTGCATTTGTTAAAGTTATATTTTATGATAATACATATTACACATGTCTATAAACTAGCCTAATATTAAAAAAACTCTTAAGATAAATTAATAATAAATAGAATTTAGATAAACAAAATATATGATCATCACCTGATAAATAGTTATTCTTATAATTATTTTGGGAAAAAACTTAATACTAAATATATAATATATATATTCTTTATATTTATAATTTATATTTTGTATTTTAGTGAATGATTATTTGAGTGTTATCTATCTCACAAATAATTCTTATGTGAGGATGATTCTATGTAAAATATATAATTAATATTAGAAAAATAGTTAGAAAAATATCATAAATTTTTATACAAATTAAAGGCCAAATAGATTTAATAGAAATCATTACATGATACATCAAGAACCTTTATTAGACCATATTTTATACTAATATTAGATTTATCAAAACATTTAAAAAGAAATGCTATTATAGCCTTATATTTCTTGTAAATCATATTTATAATATATATATTTCTCTTATCTCAATGAAACTTATATTCAGTTTTTTCATTTTGGTCAAGAAAAATGTTATAATTTTTCGCTGAAATTTTTAATCCAATCTGTAAAGGCAAATTTTAATCATATTAAGTAACATTAGATGAATATTAAAATATTTTACAAAAAGCATATTTACCTATTTTTTCTTAAAAATACTTTTGGTAACTTATGATATTTATGAAATATATTATTAACTTGATTTCAAAATTTTTTACTTGTTAAACTTAAGCCAGAGCTTGAAGTAATTGAAGTTGAAGATATTTTAAAGAAAAGGAATTTGTGCAAAAATAAAATCTATTATAAAAATGATTAATATTTTATTCTCAAGCAATTTAATTAATATATATATAATCTGATAGTATAATATTTGAATTTTTCAGTTCACATGTTATATTATCTTTACAAATTTTAAAGTTTGTTTAATTAAAATCAAATATTATATAATATAAAAAAGATCAACATTTAATTTTATTATTGTCTAAAGTATGAGGATAATCAATTTTTATATTAAAGCAATACAATGTTATTCTATTCTACATATTGATCAACCAATAGAATTCTGCATTGCTAGTCATGTGTGTTTCATAAAAATTGAATATTAAAAAATTATATTCTGTTATACTTTAAACTAGAATGATTACGTTACCATTTCTTAGCCTTATGAAATTTATTATGCTTTTATAACATAATTTTAATAGTAAATTATGAAAAGTAGCCAAGCATAAAACTTTTAAGGTACTTATTATTAGAAATAATATTTTGATTATTCCTATTAAATAATATTTTATTGTTTAATATTTGATTACTTTTATTGAATGATACTTTATTATTTAATGAAAACAAACAATTTTATTATTTAATAGAAATAATATTTTAATTGTTTCTTTTTAAAAGATTTTTTTATTATTTAATTAGAACAATCTAAACTAATAAATTTAAAATTTTAATTTTAATTAGATTTTTTCAGTTTAGATTAGAATTAAAATCTAAACTGAATTGAAAAATTTCAAAATTATTTAAAATTTTAATAGATTAAAAATTAAAAAAAAAAATAGTTTTATTAATTTTTTTTTTAGTTTTATTTTAACTTTCTTTAATAAATTAATACTTTAACTATTAATTAAAATTTATATAAATAAAGATATAATATTGATTAATTAAAAATTTTTGATTGATTAACAAATGAATTTGATTTATTATTATTTTTAATTTAATGATAATTTAATTTTAAATTGACTTTTAAGAATCTGTTTCAATTCAAATTTTTTAAAATTATAATATATTGAATTTATTTTATTTAAACTATCTTTATTTTTACTGAAGATAAATTAATAAGAAAAACTAGTAAAGTTTAAATTTTTAATTACATTATTTTTTATGAAAATAATTTAAAATTTCTGATTAAATAATTTAATAAAATATTTTGTATTATTTATAATAATATAATTAGTTAAGCTTTTAAGTTTTAAAATTAGAGATATATATATATATAAAGAAAGAATAGAAATATTGAGTTAAAAATCAGATAATTTTATAAAATTTTTATAAATAATTAAGCTATATTTAATATATATTAGAATTTTTGATAAAGTTCTTAAAATATAAAAGGAAATATAAAAAAATAAATTTAAATTTATGCTTAATAATACATTATATTTATTATTTGATTTAAAGTAATATAAAGTATAAAATCTAATTTTAAAATAAATCTTTATTTTTTAATTTTTCACTAAAAGATTAGTTTGTAAATTTTTACTGATTAATAATTATATAATAATTATATAATAATATTTATATAATTTATGATTTCTGTATTATTAAATTCAATTTTTTTTATAATAATAACTCTATATATATAAAAAAAAATTAGAAATTTATAAGTACTGTTTAATAAAAAAAGTATCAGTTTTATTACATATATCTTTAACTTTTTATTAAAAATATAATATTATTAATATGTAATTCTTACAAATTATGATAATTAGACGAGATTTTGAGAGTTATTTCTTTTAAATTTACGTAGTAAAATATATGATTATATTAAATAAGATTTATACTAAGTATAAATATAAATATTTACATATAAATACTTATAGGTAAAGTGTTATACATTTGATAGTTTATGATAAAAATAATTTATTAATAAATATAAAAAAAAGTAAAAAAAAATTATTTAATAAAAGATAAAACGCAATAAATGAAATTAAGTATTATTCAATAGACTAAGTGTATATGATCTTTAAAAGAATTTTACTAAATGTAATTAAATCTGAATCTACTTGAAAAGTTTAAATAATTGAATTATATATATATATTTTCAAATATATAAAATAATATATTAACTATCTCAGTTTTTTTAACTATATTAATAATTTTACATTTAACTATTTTAACTAAATAAACTAAATTAATTATATTAATTATAAAATATATTAAATATGTCTGATATATTGATCTTATCAATTATATCAATTATATTATTATTTAAATTATACAATGTAAATTAGTCACAATTTGATCATCTAGTCACAGTAATAATAAACTTTATGGTAATTAAAAAATTACAAATTAAATAGCCTAAAAGCAAAAATATAAATGAATTGAAATGATATATAACAATTTGTTCTCTAAATAAATAATTTTTACAAATGTTAAATACATGTAATAATTCTCTTTTAATAATATATTTTATTATGTAATATGCAAATCCCTTATCTTTTATATATTAAGCATTCATATATGCATTTCAGATTAAGAGAATAAGGGTTACCTTCTTTATAATATATTATTTTATTAAAAGGTCAAGAAAATCCTTTTTTATAAGTGTAATCTAACGGTGCTAGATCTTAGCATTTTTGATTATAAGTATGAATCTGATTGATAATAATAATAGCATAGAGTTCAAGTTCATATATAGAATTTGATATTATAGATCAAATTATATCATTTGTAATTATAATTCTAATATTATTAATTGTCTAATAATAACTATATGTATATGCTATATTTTGATTTAAAATTCAATATGATCAAAAAAGTCTGTAATTTTACTAAATCCTATAAGTTATGATTTTATATATATATATTTTTTAGTAGATAAAATATTTATGTAGATTAATCTATCTATTCTTAGTTATACTAAGAGTTATTAATAAATTAGAAAATCAATTTTCTATAATATTATATTTAGATAGAGTTGCTTTTGCTAGAAGTATTCTCATAAAGATTGGTATGGAAAATAT